GTGATAAATCAGTTAAAGCAAGTATGGGAGGTCTTATTTAAGGGAACAAGGTTCTAGAAAGCAAAACGACCAGTCGAGTCGTTACACCAAGAGCAATCAGGTGCACCAAATGCCGCACTGTCACCTCCACTCTGGCGAGCTCAACAAATTTGGTCAGCATCTTGATGATCTTGTAAACGTAAGGAGCAAGCTGAGAGGGGCAAACTCCATAGTGGCGACAAAACTCCTCCACTAATGGGAGAATAGGAAATGAATAGCCAATAGTGAACGGGTAAGCATATAGCGCGCTGTACCCGAGACAGTGAATGTGCACTTCGTCCTTCTCAACAGAGATCAATTCGATATGGTTGGGGAGGCCAAACTTGGCTTTAAATTCAGCTAATTGTATTGGGCGCCATTATCGATAGAAATTTCCAGGCGCCATGTACGGTGATTGCTGGAAATTGGACTCGGCTTTAGGGTTGTGAGGGATGATCTCTTCCACTGATGGATATATTTCATCCTCTACAATGGCAACTACACTCTCCCCGTAAACAGGGAACACATCCGCCAGTGAAATGGCGTGACTCCCTTCAGCAACGTCAGATGGGAAATTCGGCATATTTATGAAAAGTAAAGAAGAATACTGGGAAGAAAATTTGGAATGTGGTATGGAGCAACATAGTAGAAAAGGGAAGTTCAGAGAAGAAGTTTAGAGTTTGGAAGAATGGAAGGTTCAATTCAGGTTTGGCCATCTCTATTTATAGAGATTAAGGCATCAAATCCGAAATGATTTGTCATAATGGGTACCAAGCTCAAAACGGCTCATCACAATTGGCACCAGAATCGAAACGACAAATCCAATCAAAGGTTACACGTAAATCGACACAATGTGTAAGGAACTAGCATCATTATGACGCATGACGTCACCCCCTCTCTTGGACCATATAATTCCAACAAATCACTCGGAAAATTTAAGGGATTTGCAATATGCGGCCTACAAAGAGCCACGTCGCTTGCTCGTTACAACGACCACGACCGATTTTATTTTTTCAGTGAGCTCAACCACGAAAACGGCCCTGAGCGATATTATCTGCTCATTGAACTCGCCCACGAAGATGAACTAAACGAATGAAGGGACTAACTGTATATGCAAAAAATTATCCTAGTTATATTTGAGCCACGTCAGCACTAAGAGAGCCTCGAAGGTAGCCACGTGTCATCAATATGATTTCAATAAAAGACGGATTCAAAGTCAAAATGTTCTGACGAAAGATACGAGCTAGGTCAAGGAGTCAACAGAGATCGATGTCGAGGACGTACCCTCCTTAGCGGAGCAGTAACGACTAGTTTTGGGGATCTAACTTTAAAGAGAATATTCCTAAAATTTGTACTATTAAGGGTTTGTGGTACATGTCCTATTATAAATAGAAAGAGACATAGTTAATATTGGGATTGGACACCTATTTGTAAAAGAACAATACTTTGACATTCTCTAAAGATTCTTGCTTTATTATATACATATAGAATACATCTTTTCTTGAGATTCTGATCTAACTTTTCTCCCACGATCTAAGGAGAATGCGAATATTCAAAGGCTAATCAATCATTTATCATTATCAGAGGGAATACCACACGATTTCATCCATTTTCGGTCGTCTCTCTTGCATTTATTATTATTAATAATAATACCATTATATACCATTTATTGCTATTTAATGCTATTCACTTTGTATTTGGGCTATTAAATATTATTTATTGTTACATATTCACTGATATTCCTACATACTATATGATATTTTACCAAGGTACTAGTTAAACAATATTTTGAATATTAATATTGGCTAAAATTAACCTTATTTTATTAAAAAATTAATTGTTTAAACCTAAATCTAAATTTTGGGTCAAACAGATTACAACCTACATAATCCTTTTCCATTATGTTAAATTAAATTAAATTTTCTTACACTCGATCGAATTAAATAAAATTTTGTGGATTTTGTTTTCCAACCGGTTATACAAAAACAGAATATTCCAAAGAACAATTAGGGTTTGCTGTCGAAAGAGCCACAAATCCACCACCATATAAATACCTCATCTTTCACTCTTCGCCGAGTGCTGCGTACTGCTATTCTAAATCCATATACCCTTTTTCAGAACATCAAAGAAGCGAAAATGGAGCAGACTTTCATCATGATCAAGCCTGATGGTGTCCAACGTGGCCTGGTTCGTCTTCCTAAATGATTTTTCTTTTTATCTATACACGTTTTCCATTTAGATCTATAAGCTAGAGCTTTGATTGATTCGATTTTTGTGTTTGTTTTGAAATTTTTGTTCATTACGTGTTAGAAATTGCCAATTTTCTCTGCCTGTTTACCTTAGCTATGCATTGATTTTACGTTATGGTTCAGGTTGGTGAGATTATCGGAAGATTTGAGAAGAAAGGATTCTCTTTGAAAGGTAATCTTTGCTACTCAATTATGAGAAGTATGATTGATTAGTCTTATGCTGCTTTATTAGTACTTAAAAGTTAAAACGATTTCCTTATAGTCCGCCCCATCATTAGTAACAAAACAGACTTATTATTAGTCAGGACCCACTCAGTGTTGATGTTGATTTTTGATTCTTTTACCTGATTGTTAAATAAAAGGATTGTAGCTCCAGTTGTGAATTGAAATGATTTTAAGTAAACTAATGGTTTACTTTGTTTCCTTTATTTCTCTTTCTTCCATGTAATTTGTCTGTAAATTGGTGAGTAATTCTTGTCCATTGTATGTTTAATGTGTATGGGGTGACTTGCAAAATGGTTGCTCTATGGTAAAAACGATTTTCCAATCAGTCATTATTTTATTTTGGGTTTTTATTTTTGACTATTTCGATTAATTTGTGTCATTATTTTTACTTTGTTTGGGTATAGGCTTGAAGCTCATCACTGTGGATCGTGCCTTTGCTGAAAAGCATTACGCAGACCTGTCTGCTAAGCCTTTCTTTAGTGGGCTTGTTGATTATATTATCTCTGGCCCCGTTGTTGCAATGGTCTGGGAAGGTAAGGGTGTAGTTACCACTGGCAGGAAGATCATTGGAGCAACAAACCCATTGGAGTCTGCTCCTGGTACAATCCGTGGTGATTATGCTATTGACATTGGCAGGTAAAACACCGAGTACCCCATCTGAACATGCATTATTCTTTGCCAATAGGTTGGACTAATACTATCTGCTTTAGCAGCCTGCTTAAATTTTGTTATTAACATCTGTTTCTTAAGAGTTGGCCAAATTGGTATATTTACCTTTGACCTTAACCATGGTGCTTGACCTGAGAGAACCTGTTTGATTGTAGGAACGTTATTCATGGAAGTGATGCAGTCGAGAGTGCAAGGAAGGAAATTGCTCTTTGGTTCCCCGAAGGAGTTGCAGAGTGGCAGAGCAGCCTTCACTCTTGGATCTATGAGTAGAAAAGTTTTTTTACTTTAGAACTCTATTAATGGCCTGCCTGTTTGGGTGTAACTTGTGAATTTTGGATGTGATTTGAGTCTAGAAGTTTGTTGTTTGAGGTTTTCTGTCATTCCCTATTTCAAGAATATTTAATGTGATCAGTATTACTTTCGTGATATTTAGTCCTTTTGTGTGCTTCATGTGGTCCAGTTTCAAGTAATTGAGCTTTATCATTTGTTAGCTTCACTATCTGTCAAAAAAATCAGCCGAAGGTTAAACAATGTTCCCATACTGTACTGTGGCTATGAATGCACAGACCATTTTTTGTTGTGCGCGCAATTTGCTCTAGGTGTAGCACTTAGGTGCATTAGATGTGCGTGTGGATGCGAATTTGGTTTCTATCATATTGTTGCTACAATCATATTTGCCCAGCTTAGTTTTGAAGCTTGGTGTCCACCGGGATTTGGGTTGAAACAAGTTCCAAGTTTAGCCTATTCGGTGTTTCTTTTTAGCTGTGGTATTTTATTCTGTACTTAATAGGCATGAAATGGTACTTCCGGGAGGGTGCACTCTTCTCTTCAAGGGTTGCATAAATTAGGGCTGGTCAAACACCAAGCATCACATACCGGAGGAGAACATAGCTAAGCCTTAAGTGGAAATATTTCTATTTGCTCCTTTTTTGGTATAACATGGCTAGAATCAAGGTTAACAACATAGGCGCGAAATATTTCTTTTTGCTCCTTTTTTGGTATAACATGGCTAGAATCAAGGTTAACAACATAGGCGCGAAATATTTCTTTTTGCTCCTTTTTTGGTATAACATGGCTAGAATCAAGGTTAACAACATAGGCGCCGTGATAGACTTTATTAGTAATATACATAGGTTGTAATTGGGTTATACACACCAACCAGCACTATCTTTATGCTGTTTTTTCTAATATGATACATTACTTGTCACCAAAAAAAAAAAAACACACAAATTTGAGGGCTCGGAATGTATTGTTGCAGTTGGATTCTTGCACTGCACTTGGAGCATGGTGAGAGCTAGGGCTGTCGGTTTGATAGTTACTTTTGGGCTCATGGGCTGTTGAATGCCCATCAGCCTGGCAATGCTGAAGGGGAAGGGGGGTGTAGCGGCAGGTGGCTGGCACTTTACCAATTCTGCAAATTGAATCCTCTCGATAAAATGAAGGTGACTAATCTGGTGCATAATAGACGTGTAGTAGGGGATTCCAGAATTCCAGATCAATCAATAGATATTGACACTTTAAGTCATCCAAAGACTTCAAAAGGTGCAGACACATCCGTGTGCAAGTCCAATGCTTACTGGTTCAAACTCTATTTTGGGTAAGGGACCGATTCTCCTTTTTCCTTGGACTTCTCATATACTACGACATCACTTCACAAATGGGTTGGTGGGCAACAATTTGTACCGTTCAATTAATCATATGATTGCGGTAATATAAATTAGACTAAATGGGATTCGAGATAAGATGAACATAGGCCGTACGTTAAAGTTAAGATAATGCGAATATCCGCCGATCAGTTAGTTTACACAGGCACGTCGTGGTCTGAAGTCTCTATCATAATAGCCGATAGAAGGGTACCACTTTCGATTTACTTAAACCAAAAAGGTAGTCGAAGGACAATTCTTCGATTTCCTACCACCAGTGTTGAGACTACTCAGCAGTATTGCCCCTTTCCAAATTCAAGAAACAAGGGTACATTGTACTTGCTCTTACATTACCAAGTTCAGGCACTGTATAATCCCCATATTTCCTCTCCACCGACTTCTACAAAGTAACACCCACTACCGAAAGCTACTAATGTAAGAACAAAACCAATAGATGCCACAAAACTTGCATACAAAAGCCATTTTCATTTTCTTAAATGTCACGACTACAAACACTATCGACTAAGAAGGCTGTACGAGGGCAAATCTTCCAGCCGTGTTATGTCTTCGTGCAGAAGCTCCTCTTCCAGTTGACGACGAGTAGCCTTCATGACCGTCTGAAAGAACATATAACATAATATAAAATCATGAATGCAGGCCTCTTCACAAGAAGTAGTGTAGTATGAGGAGTAAACAAGTAAGTAACTAGATAAGGAATACAAGTAATAGTACAAGTAAACTTGATAAGATACTACTAGTGACAGCAAGAGTTAACAAACATGGAACGCGGAAACATTCTTAAAAGCTTCCTACCGAAGCAACAGTACACAGAACTGCAGCTATGCTCCGGTGCCAAGGAATACACATTTCTTTGATATCAAGATATACTAGCCAAAGCGAAACAACTAAGAAAAGCATTTAAGTGAAAGAGGCATGAAAACTCCTTCAAACGCAAACGAACTGGATTAGAGATGAGCACAGTTTGAACATTCCAAATATAACTAAATCTCAGGAAGCCAAAAGTACATACATTGAAGTCCATATACGATGCGCGCATGGCAAGCCACTGATGATCCATCAATTTAAACGTGATGCAATATAGAAGATCAAAAGCCGACTCATTTTCTGCAAAAAGGAAACATCTTGCTTAGAGGAGCAAAGGTGCAAGTTAAAGTTCATATTTCTAAAGGACTAAATCGAAATTCACCGACTTTCATTTTTTAACACAGAAGATCAGCAAAGGAACACGAAAGGCGCATCTAAACACAATAACTGAATGCATCAAAATAAAAAGGAAATTAACAGTAGTTAAGCAAAACTGAAAGAAGAGACAGATCTTGTAAAAGATTTACCTGCAAGAAACTTCAAGAAAGTAGCTCCCACCAGATTTCTGGGTTTTACTGCAGAGTTGAAGCACAATTAACAAAGTGATTTGGAAACAAGTCTTCCAGGGAAAATTACGTATATTTGGTTTGTATATATACTTGTGCATGAGAGAGTTCACAAGTACTATTTAGATTCACAAGTCCTAGAACACTGCTTTTTGACAAACATGAAACTGGTTGTAACAACAGTCAAATCTCATTTTTCGTTAGATGGATCCATTCAGAAGCATATATACTGGAATTTTGGTTAAGACTTCAGTAATTTTCAGCATATAAAAGAATGTAGATGGTACACTTACAAGCTTCCAAATCGAGCATCTGGATAAGCATAAATGTGATGTTGACGCCAGCAACAGCGAATGGATATTCCCAAATTGCTCTATCACCTTCCTGCTTTCGGAGAAGATCCTGGAAAGATTTCTGCAAATAAAAGTAGGAAAAGAGAATAAATAGATGGATCTAGAACTTTATAATGCTTGAGTGTCACATAAGCATTTTAACTAGGTGCTAAAGATTTTAAGTATTTATTTTCTGTTATATGTGATATATTTTACATTGCACACTGTATATAGTCATCTTACTTTTGAAGAACCCGTCGTTCGCAGTAGATAGATTCCGATTATTTCACATAATATCAAGAAGATTATGCGCTTTTTCTTTTAATAATTGTTGGTGCAGTAGACAAAATTGTTGTACTTTTATTCATGAATGCTAGATTTAAAAGATCATAAGAAACATTACGCCCTCTGGAATCTTTCACCAACATTGAGTAGCACAAAGCCACATGCTAGTGCTAATAATAGACACAGTCAGATATTTCACATATAATGAAGTAGATTATGTAAAGTTAAAGAGCGGCTCTAACCAGTTTTGTTGTTTCATGGATGCCAGAATTATAGGGCCACATTTCTAATTTAATTTACAAATTTGAAGGCTTCACATTCACATAGTCAGTTGTTCAAAGAGAGTAAAATTTGCAATTTAGCAGAATTATTTTCAGAAATTCGTTGAACGTCTTAAGCTGTGAGCTCACTGTCTTGGTTCAGTCTTTTCTGAGAAGTATCTGATAGATATATTCAAGCTTGTCATATAGACTTATTCAAGCATGCTTATCAACCATTAAGTGTTTATCACCAAGGTTTACCATAGAACAAAGTAATTTATAAACACTTACTTCTAAATTAAATGATAAATATGACATACACAACTGCATAATATCAGGCAATCCAACATCACAAATAATTTACCAATTTAGATTTGAAGTCCAAGGATAACTTTGTGCTAACTTTGAAGGCCTCAAAAATACACACAGACTCAGGAACCCAGCCATGATTTTTTTCCACCTCCTCCACAGGTGACTCGAATCTCCAATGGTTGGAGGAGAAAGGTCCTTACCACTAGACTATCTTTTCACATAGACTTCTTACAATTTTGTTAATATTGTTAGCCTATAAGGATCTGAAATGTTCAATAACGTAAATGAGCGCATGAAGATTAGCAATTCATTGTCTGGCTATCAAAAAGTTATCCACTTTTACAAAAAACAAAGAGATGCATGACAGTAAAGCCATTTTTATCTTTTGGTTAACCAACTTATAAAGCATTCCGACTAATTTATCCCATTGCTGTACATTTCAGCCATTAACACTAAATAATTAATGACAGAAATACTTCTTCCAGCTATTTCAACAAATTTTAATATGCTGCTATCACCAAGAGACCACTAGGTGCCTGCATGTATAACATTAGAAAAGAATACAGAGATCATCCACACATCAGGGAACCCATCCCTCCACCAACTATCATGATTTTCAGGGTTGTTGAGCAAGCAATTAAAAAACATATGTTTTCTGTGCATAAGGAAAGAAAAACGTGCAGCAGAAGTAGTGAAGTAACTCAAGTGTAACACAACGATCTGAATAGCTACAATCTCAGGATGCAAATTCATAAGACCTGCTTAGAAAAATAACCTAGACCTGTCAGGTCTACAATGGCCACAAAATCACGGTAAGTCTCGACACTAAACATTAGCTTTTCCAAGTAAAGTACACGTTTGCTTAGAAATTTTGGCTTTCTCCCACAAAAAGGTGACTAAAGAGGACATACCGGGAAGTTCCTTGCAAAGTATAACAAATTCTCCAGCGATATAAATCCACCACCCCTACAGAATCAATCAAACAGCTTAAAAACGACCCAAGATTGCAATAGGCAGAAATGGGAAATTAATCTGAAAGATGCTGAAATAAGCTTGAGAATATCTTTTTTTTTTTGTTGGGAGGAGCGAGGTGCTGATGTACCTAAAGTCAGTAGAAGGATCTTTTCCTTGCCAGCCCATTTCTTTCCACTGTTCAGATATTAAACTACGAAGTTCTTCCTCAGGAAAGGCAACTTTCCATAAAGCTTTTAAAGCTTCCTTTAGGTAAAAAAGAACAAAGAGAAATGAGAATGTGAGAAACAACCTGAATGAAATGTCAAAGTCTTAAACATATCACCTCATAACCTTATTGCAAAACACTTAAATGTCTTACACAAAAGGTACCTGGTGTTCAGGGATAGAACTATCATATGCAACATCTATACGGCTTTGTAGCCTTAGCAGACATTCCTCCTGACATTAACAAAGTGAGATAAAACATCACTAGCATCCAATATGTCAAAGACATTCCAAACTTCCTTACCATGGCTAAGCTATTCTTTTGCATGACATTAGAAAAACAAAAACAAGAAAATTTGACGTGGACAACCAGACACCCACTAGAGAGTTGTGGCCCATCTCATTAAAATGGAAAGCCAGAAAATTTTGACAAATCACTTGTGCCTAAGACATGACACAGTTAGAAATAAAAAGCACAACATATCCGGATGCACAAAATGAGCACAGTTAGAAATAAAAAGCACAACATATCCGGATGCAGAAAATGAGCACACATGACACAGTTAGAAATAAAAAGCACAACATATCCGGATGCAGAAAATGAGCACACATGACACAGTTAGAAATAAAAAGCACAACATATCCGGATGCACAAAATGCGCACATTTGTCCAACTCAACAACAAAAGCAAGAACGAAATTGAAAAATACAAACTAAGAACTCACACAACAGGACTTCTGAGAGCCATTCCAAGAAATACAAAAGTTCAACAGGAAAGGAACAAGCAGATCTGAAATGCATACCACTACATTGTGTTTTATGACAATCTTAGCATTCAGCAAGCAGGATATTTAAACTTCATATAAGCTCCACAAACATATTACCTGGGCTGGAGTTAAATCAAATGATGGACGAGCATCACTCTCCCTCCTTTGAGCACAAACACATGAAAGGCCTCTGCCAAGCCACGCTGCTGATCCTGCCACAACCTCCGCTGTAACAAAATAAAATGATTGTATAAAGAAAATGGGAATTCCAGATTTTCCAATGATGACATGCTTCTATTATGGGTGGGACTGGAGCAAGGATGATACAGATACCAGATAGAGAAGCACTTCTATCTAAAGACATGTTCACATCTGAAAAGAAATTTTCTGTCATTCTCAGTATACTGTCAACGCTCAACAATGGCACAATTAAGCAACGAGGATTAGCTGAATTGCATCATCATGCAAATATGATAAATTGTAGCACATGGCATGAAAATGGAAATAAACATAAAATGTGTTCTTATGATTTTTTTGCTTTGTAAAAATGTGTTCCTATGATACAACCTAAACATCATGGGCTGTAGTAACACAGTAGAAAATGTAAAGGACACTTCCTGCTTGACTTAGTCCTTCAATCATAACATAAGTTTCCTTTCTAGTATCTGATTTGATAAAAAATCATAAGACTTAATTAAGCACTAAGGAAAACAACTCATCATGCTACGTGGATACAATCAAGAGCATATTAGCAGACTGCTTCCTGCAAATATACTGGGCAAATAATATTTTCTATTGTTTATAAAAACATTTAGTTGTACAATTTGATAAACCTACATTCAGAATCAATAAAATGGAAAGAATGGTTCCAGAAAAGCTGAAAAAGCCAATATTACATCAGTTTATGTTACCAAAATTCTAAAAATGAGCTAGGTCCAGATGAATAGCAATTAGCTTCAAAGGTCTAGCTAGAATTTGGTATATAGCTTGTCAAAATGCCCGAATGGTTCTAAAACATTGAATATAGCTGAAGTTCAGCACGTGATGATGAATTATACTACATATTTTTCTCCTAGACAACCAAATTCTGTTACTAAAACGGAACGAGTTTCCCTATGCAGACGTGTTCAGAATATGCTCCAGTGCAGCTTTATCTACAGTAGATTTAAGTACTGGTGAATCACATATTAAGTTATTAACTCTATGAAACCAGTCTGTTCATAACAAATTCATGAATCTGTTGATTATCCAAAAGATGGGGCACGTCACGCCAAAATTCAGGGGAAGAGAGAGGAAGCAGCGGATGCAAACTCACCACAAATATCAATGCAAGTAGGCATGAATGCAACTAACTTTTCAATTCACAGATCCAAAACCTCATAGTATAAATTTACTCCTGACATAGATAGAGACCAATCGGTAATACAGAAATACACAAATTTTGAGGCCACAAAACAGAGAGAGAGACGAGCGAATGTTTGTAGTGTTAGGTAAAGGAATATACCAGAAGTTGAATGGCAAGTATTGCCTCTTTCAAGTCCTTGAGATATCCTCCTCACTGCCACGAACGATCCTCCTCTATCCTCCATAATACTGAAACTAAAAAACTCTTCTCTACAATATTTGCATCACATTCAACTCCTCCAATAGCTACAGACCTCCGTCAATGGAAATGCTAACAGTTCAAAGTAACAGAACTGAACCGATATTTAATAAGCAAAAAAATTGCAATAACGAAGTTGAATTTCTTTTACAGTTTCTCAAATAGAAAATGCGCAATTCCTCCGTTCGAATCTCGAGATCTGTTATCACGCTTCTGCAGCAAGGGAGTGTGTGTATATATTTTTGTGTATTTATAGGTGCAAAAATATAGCTATATCTGAAGGTGAATATGTGTATATATAGGAAAGATGATATCTATAATATAGAGAGAGAAAACAGGAAGAGCGAAATTCTCTCTCTAGATTTGTTTACTCTGCAACTTATTCTCCCCGAAGAGATTTGTTAATGGAGAAGAGAAGAGCGAAGTTGGGGTGGGGGGAGAGAGAGGGTGGGTGGTTTTCGGGATTGAGGGGTGTGAATGTGATATAAGCTGTTGAGCAGTTTTGTTGAGTTGGGTGGCATTCGCGTCCGTTACAGAGGACCCCGGGTGGGGGTAGGTGTTGAGGGGGAGACGGCGATTATTGAGAAAAAACGGTTACGGCTTTGAGTAATGGGGTTTTTTATTGCAGAATTATAAATTGAGATATTAAAACCAGTTAATTACAAGAAATTGACTGCTGATTTACTAGTTTTTGTCAATGCTGGATAGAATTCGTGAATTAATTACGACTATGTAGGAAATTGCATCTTTTGAAGATTTTTTTACTTAGAACAACTGAATTTTTAAATACTAAAACTTGATGAAAATATTTGGTAGACTAATACGTTATACGTCTAATTCATAGCTAGTATATTTTGACTTGTTGGTCAAGTAGAGACGTTTTTGGGAATTTATTACATAAAAGGTGATTTTATATTTTGCTCTATGCAGAAGGATAACTTCTCATTTTCATAATATAATAATAATAATAATATATGGGAGCTTTGGAGGGACAAGTAAATAGAGGAGATCCAAAATTTGAAGTTTATGGTTATATATATCGACTTTAAATGAATCTGTTATAGTTATTAAATTTATAGTTAAATATTTAATAAATTTTTTAATACATTTATAAGATTTAGACAAAAGATACTGAATTCACGTGAACCATAACAAATACTATAGCTTCGACCCTCACGTGAACCAATAACAAATACTATAGCTTCGACCCTACAAGTAAAATAAGCCTAACCAGATTAATAGCTTGTTTGGCCAAACTTTAAAAACCAATTTATTTTGAGAGTTTTTTTCTTAAAAAAATGCTTTTCAAAAAGTTTGGAGAGAAACAATTTGTGTTTGACTAATTAATTTGAAAAGCATTTTTCAGCAGCAATTAGTTTTTGACCAAGCTTTTAAAAAGTGGTTCTAAATTTTTTTTCTTCTCAAAAGTGCTTTTCAAAAAAAATATTTTGGAGAGAAACTATTCTTTTCTGCTTTTCAAAATCTGTTTTTGTTTCTACTAAAAAAAAAAGAAAAATCTTCCAAAAACTTGGCCAAACACTTCAAGTTTGAAAAAAAAAATATTTTTAAAAAAAATATATATTTATCGCATTGAAGAAGTTTGGCCAAACTAGCTATAAGCTATAAGTCCTTTTGTTTTATTAGTCTTAAAAGCCTTTTAAAAACTATTTCCTTCTCTCATCAAAAGAGCTTTCTTCAAAGTTGAAATTAGCAAAAGCCAAAAAAGGTTATATAAAGGTGGGTAAAGAATAAGATAATCATGTATTATGTTTAGGGTGACAAATGGGCGGGTTGAACTGAATTTGGATGAATCAAGATGGGCTAATAATGGATCATAACCCAACCCATTCAACTTGACTCATGTTTAAGAACCATGCTCATCTTGCATAAAAAGCCTTTTACCTTAAAAAAACAAAAAAAATTGAAAAACTGGTAAAAAAAAAAACAAAAGAACAGAAATTTGAAAATACAAAAAAAGTAATTTTTTTGAGGGGGTATGCGCCCGGGGGGTGGGGGGTGGGGGCGTAGGTGTTGAGGGGGAGACGCGATTTGAAGTCTATTCTTCTTTTTTGAGATATAAATAAAGTTGTTAATAAATTTTTTTATAATATTCTCTTATAATTCTTGCTCGATTGATAATATAGCCAACTTATTTAATCTTTCTTGAGATATTATTGATCTTATATAAGTTTTTACAAAGCAATAGAAGTATAGAACTATTGGAAGCTTAAAAATATTGATGAACACTTGAACTAGTAAAACATTGGAGAAAGAAGGTGAATAATAAAATCTTGGAGAAAGAAGTGAGTAAGAATATCAAAGAAAAACACAAAAAATATGTAGGTTTTTATGAAATATGAAGAGATTGGGAAAAAAAATTGACTTGGACAAATTAAGGAAGAGAGAGCAAATTTTTTAATGAAGGAGCAAAAAATGAAAAACTAAAAGTTATGAAAACTATTCATCTACACATTTTTGAGTAAGTCAAATTATCATTTTATTTATATATCTAAAAAGTTTTCTTTCCTTTATATTAAAAACTCTAGTTTTGTATTAAAAATACTAAATATTATTTTTTAAATACTTATGAACCTATTATTTTTAAAAAATTTGGGGCCCTAAGGCACAAGCCTTACTCCATATAAGGTTGGAGCCGGCCCTGCACACAGTTATATTAATCGTTGTTTCTTTTTGAAAGTAAAATTTGTTTCCTCTCCGCGTCGCTAAGAACATCGTATTTATCAACTATTGCCTGTAGACCATGGCGGAGCCACATGTACTCAAGGATGTCAAGTGTTTTCCCTTAATCGAGAAATTATACTGTGTAGTTAGATAAAATACTTTTTTATGTATATACACTATATTGACATATCTCATGATTTTTTTGTGAATTTACTTCTTTATATTTTGACCTTCCTTGAAGAACCTTGGCTCCGCCACTATCCGTATAGATTGACTATTTGTTTAAGTCATTAGTGTTAGTATAGTTAATTATTTGCCTTTATCTGAGACTAAGTTTTTTTATTAGTTAAACACATGAGGACAATAATTTAAAGGTACCTGTTAGAGAATCCAGCATAGGACCAGTGCTGAAGACTAATCAATTTAACTGCATGAGTATGAGACATGAGGGACTGGAGAAAAAAATATTGATCACATGGGTTGTTGGTAGAGAGGGATCCTAATTTTGATGGGAAATACTTCATTTAAAGTACTTTTGACCCTACAATTCTCTATATCTATCATTTGTACTTGTGGGTTACACATATATTTTCTGATGAATGATCAAACACATCCAAATCAAATGAATGCTATGTGTCCTACAAGCATGGGTTCTTCAAAAGTATGTTAGTGAGATTGCTTTGCTTTGGAGGCAATTATGCTGTGCATTATTAAAAACTTAAGATACATATACTGATCATAGAAATTTTTTTACTGTCAATGAAATTTAATTGGATATGTATAACATGTTGTTTTCTATTATTGTAGGTCAACTTAATCTGATGATATTAAAATTTTATTCATTGTTAGTGTGTGTTTGCAATAAATTTTTAAGATATGAAAAATAAACTGCAATCACATAATAAGAGAAAAATATTTTTACTAATCAATTGTGAGTACAGTTCTGTTTTTCCCTTGATTCTTCTTTCCTGATTATCTCCGTAATTCGAGGGCTGAAGCAGCGTATTTCTCGAATGTAGGATGATGCAGACCTTCTCGGGATGTATTTAATCTCTAGTTTCTTGAACTATTTGATTGTCAAGAAGTATCCAACCATATTTTGATCTCTTTGCGAATATGCCAAGAGTTTATGGAATTTTTGAGACGCCTCTTCAAAGGAACATGTATTCCTTTATATAGGTATGCGTTAGGGTTTAGGGTAGAGTAATCTCCAAGAAATCCTGATAGACTATTTCAAGAGTCTCGTAGTATCTTGAATTTAGGATTTAGCTTGATTCGTTAAAATTTCGATGTCGATAGTGTAGAACGTTTAATATTACATTCTTATAGTTATGGACTTATGGTATTTAAAGATATATTATTGGTTTTTAAGATAATTTTTTTCTACTTTACAAGACTTGCATTTAGGAAGATTTTTTTTTTTTGGTAATTAAATTTTTTATTTCTCAACAAATATTTACATACTATACTCGAGCTTAATCTGGACATACATCTTGCTAACTGTGGATACTAAAGAATATTTATAGATCATAATGCTATCACAAGACTCAAGATTAAGCAGTGAGTGATAAAGTTAAATTAGGTGCATGTTATAATTAACTTTCTAAGGAACTATGTGGTCCTTAGCAAATCGACAGTTTATATTCTGGTTCAAGGATCAATTGGAAAAACAACAAACGAAGAGAATAAGATGAATCAATATAATTGTTCAAAATGTACAACATAATAACATATTGGAAATAACTTTTGGTTTGGAGCTCTCATGATTTTTCATGTGCCAGACATGTTGTGGTCCAATTTATGTTCTTTGTAGTCCTTTTTCCTTTCTTTTCCTCTCATACCATTCCTCATCAATTTCGCATTCATCTCTTTTTTCCCCCTTCCTTTTTGAAGTGCCTAACAGCAAATTGTCCAAGCAAAAGAACAATAAAAAAAAGCTAAGATATTGAAAAATAAATTTATAATTCAGGGATTTATGTTTCAAAGGGAGCAATGGCGCAACAGCAAGAATTATCCAAATTCGCGTGTTTCTAATGGGCATTTTAGATGTTCAAACACATATGGAATATTCACGTTCGGCCAAATTAAATAGAAATGTTAATCTATGGCCTTATTGATGCTACCTAACATCTAAACAAAATCAGAATTGTGTCATACTCCATTTGGTCTAACGTATAGCTGCTCTAGCTTGGACGCTTGTGAATGGAGATCTAGCTTACAATATTTATGTCATTGACAAATGACAGATTTGGTGAAAGTTACAAAGCCATGAATTGAAGACTAAGCTTCAACTTGCAACATCATTGTGCTGGATAAAAGGAAAGTAATCACTTAACATTAGGGCCCGTTTTTTAGGTAGGAGTATGAAATCATCATCATACTGTTAAAATCTTTTACTGTATTGTAGGATGCACGTGAGGGGAGACTTGGAGTAACAATAAAGTTATCTCCATATGACCTGAGTTCGAGTTGTAAAATCAGTCATTAATGCTTGCATTAGAATAAGCTGTCTACATCACACTCCATTAGAGTGCAGCTCTTCTTTAAATCTTGCATGAATACAAAATGTTTTGTGCACCGAACTGCCCTTTGCCCTTTCCTATTGCAAGATACACGTGGGCTCCAACTTGTGAAAAATGCTAATGTGCAAATGCAGGAAAAATGGATAGAGCAGTGCAAAGAAAATTAGATGGACATTTGAGAAGTCTTTCAATTGACACATTCCTTTTACTGTTGCACTTCATATTTACGTGAATCAATTCATGTTCCCATCGAAACTCTGTGAGATTTCACCGTTATTATGATGACCTTCCCCCCTCCCTCTCTCCC